CGTAAGAAGCATTTCAAGGTCCTGGAGTGGCCTAGCCAGTCTCCAGATCTCAACCCCATAGAAAATCTTTGGAAGGAGTTGAAAGTCTGTGTTGCCCAGCGACAGCCCCAAAACATCACTGCTCTAGAGATCTGCATGGAGGAATGGGCCAAAATACCAGCAACAGTGTGTGAAAACCTTGTGAAGACTTACAGAAAACGTTTGACCTGTGTCATTGCCAACAAAGGGTATATAACAAAGTATTGAGAAACTTTTGTTATTGACCAGATACTTATTTTCCACCATAATTTGCAAATAAATTCATATAAAATCCTACAATGTGATTTTCTGGAAAAAAAATTCTCATTTTGTCTGTCATAGTTGACGTGTACATATGATGAAAATTACAGGCCTCTCTCATCTTTTTAAGTGGGAGAACTTGCACAATTGGTGGCTGACTAAATACTTTTTTTCCCCACTGTATACTGCAGCAGGTAACTTCAATTGTAAACTTTGTCAAACCACATCCACTGCGTGCACGCCTGTTCACAAAACTATGTGGAGGCATGACAATGTTCTATTTCATACCGAGGCTTGGTGGTTATTGAGTGTTCAAACGATTTTTCACATTGAACACAAGCATGCAGGGGAAATACAAAAACATTCTACAGATGAGTGACCGAATAAGTGGATTCAGAGGAAAGAAATGTAAGTGTCCTACACGAGTGATGACTGCTCACCTCCAACGCTTGGAAGAGCACTTTGGGACCTACTTCCCAATCCATTTTACTGTGATCCTGGCTCAGTTGACATGCCGGTAAGTGAAATCGAACAACTAATCGAGCTGTCATGTGACCGAATGCATTCACAGGTCACTACGGAGGAGTTTTGGTTCCTGACTCAAAGGGAATACCCTGCCGTCTCCCTCTGAGCATTAATGCCACATTCAAAACAACTGGGAACTCGGAAGTGGGAACTCGGAAATCTCAGACTTCAGTGCATTCAAGACAACTAGGAACTCGGGGAAAAAATGAGTTCAGACTGGGAAAAACTGTTTTGAACGGTCATCCAACTTGGAATTCCAACTAGGGAACTCTGGCCTCTTTCTAGAGCTCCGACTTTCCGACCTAAAGATCACTGACGTTATGATTTTACCTCGTATTTTTCTGAGATCCAAGTTGTCTTGAAAGCACCATAAAAATCATGGTACCCTTCACCAGCTCATATCTGTGTGAAGCTGGATTCAGTGCTCTCGTCTGCATTAAAACCAAATATTGATCCAGGTTGGATGTGACAGCAGAGATGAGGTGCGCACTGTCGACCACGCCCCCTGATTTTGAGAAGCTCTGACGCAACATGCATCAAGCACACCCATTTCATTAGTGGTGGTGAGACAAGAGACATTATGTCAGACTAATTTGGAATTGACTGTCATAGCCCCACATTAAAAGTACAGTTGAAGTTGGAAGTTTACATACAGTTAGGTTGGAGTCATTAAAACTCGTTTTCAAACCACTCCACAAATTTCTTGTTAACAAACTATAGTTTTGGCAAGTCGGTTAGGACATCTACTTTGTGCATGACACAAGTAATTTTTCCAAAAATTGTTAACAGACAGATTATTTCACTTATAATTCACTGTATCACAATTCCAGTGGGTCAGAAGTTTACATACACTAAGTTGACTGTGTCTTTAAACAGCTTGGAAAATTCCAGAAAATGATGTCATGGCTTTAGAAGCTTCTGATAGGCTAATTGACATCATTTGAGTCAATTGGAGGTGTACCTGTAGATGTATTTCAAGGCCTACCTTCAAACTCAGTGCCTCTTTGCTTGACATCATGAGAAAATCTAAATAAATCAGCCAAGACCTCAGAAAAAAAGTTTGGTTCATCCTTGGGAGCAATTTCCAAACGCCTGAAAGTACCACGTTCATCTGTACAAACAATAGTATGCAAGTATAAACACCATGGGACCACGCAGCCATCATACTGCTCAGGAAGGAGACGCGTTCTGTCTCCTAGAGATGAATGTACTTTGGTGCGAAAAGTGTAAATCAATCCCAGAACAACAAGGACCTTGTGAAGATGCTGGAGGAAACAGGTACAAAAGTATCTCTATCCACAGTAAAACGAGTCCTATATCGACATAACCTGAAAGGCCGCTCAGCAAGGAAGAAGCCACTGCTCCAAAACCGCCATAAAAAAGACAGACTATGTTTTGCAACTGCACATGGGGACAAAGATCTTACTTTTTGGAGAAATGTCCTCTGGTCTGATGAAACAAAAATTTAACTGTTTGGCCATAATGACCATCGTTATGTTTGGAGGAAAAAGGGGGTAGCTTGCAAGCCGAAGAATACCATCCCAACCGTGAAGCACGGGGTGGCAGCATCATGCTGTGGGGGTGCTTTGCTGCAGGAGGGACTGGTGCACTTCACAAAATAGATGGCATCATGAGGAAGGAAAATTATGTGGATATATTGAAGCAACATCTCAAGACATCAGTCAGGAAGTTAAAGCTTGGTTGCAAATGGGTCTTCCAAATGGACAATGACCCCATGCATACTTCCAAAGTTGTGGCAAAATGGCTTAAGGACAACAAAGTCAAGGTATTGGAGTGGCCCTGACCTCAATCCTATAGAAAAGTTGTGGGCAGAACTGAAAAAGCGTGTGCGAGCAAGGAGGCCTACAAACCTGACTCAGTTACACCAGCTCTGTCAGGAGGAATGGGCCAAAATTCACCCAACTTATTGTGGGAAGCTTGTGGAAGGCTACCCAAAACGTTTGACCCAAGTTAAACAATTTGAAGGCAATGCTACCAAATACTAATTGAGTGTATGTAAACTTCTGACCCACTGGGAATGTGGTGAAAGAAATAAAAGCTTAAATAAATCACTCTCTACTATTATTCTGACATTTCACATTCTTAAAATAAAGTGGTGATCCTAACTGACCTAAGACAGGGAATTTTTACTAGGATTAAATGTCAGGAATTGTGAAAAACAGAGTTTAAATGTATTTGGCTAAGGTGTATGTAAACTTCCGACTTCAACTGTATGTGATGGTGAGTTGAGAAGACAATCAGAAATACTGTTAGAATGTTTTTCAATTGACTGCCATAGCTCCAAATAAAAAAGTTAACATTGGCTGTTAATTACATTTTTTTCACATAGTTGGGCTAGCGAGAATTTGCAGATATCAAAATGGGGTCTTTGGCCAAAAAAGTTTGGGAACCGCTGCCCTACTGGGACCTGGGAAGATGCAATTAGAAAAATGGGAGCAGCAGAGCAGTCAACTTGCGCAATACGTTTGAACATCTTGGAGACAAATCTGTCCTTAATGACCATGTACTGTTATAATCTCCACCCGGCACAGCCAGAAGGGGACTTGCCACCCCTCAGAGCCTGGTTCCTCTCTAGGTTTCGTTCTAGGTTTCTGCCTTTCTAGCGAGTTTTTCCTAGCCACCGTGCTTCTACATCTGCATTGTTTGCTGTTTGGGGTTTTAGGCTGGGTTTCTGTATAGCACTTTGTGACATCTGCTGATGTAAAAAGGGCTTTATAAATAAATGTGATTGATTGATATAGATAAGATAACTTTGTGAGAAGAAATAAGAGACAGTGCGTGGTCTGATGTATGGTTTTATATGAACCGCGGGCACGTCTTCTCACACTGTGCGGGCACGTCTTCTTCACTCATACTTTCAACTGTACTGACAGTCTGAAAGGTATAAAGTAGAACAGGTTTCGTCATTCAATAAGCAGATAGGGAAAATGGGCTGGCTTACCTCCTAAGTAAACATTTGCCACAGGAAATGATTGCATTGAAATAATGACGGTAATGAAAAATGATATATTTTGCGAAATACGTTTTGTAAATGGATACATTATTGACATTTCCAGAGGAAGCTTGCAGGTTTTGGAATTTCTGAGCAAAGATAAATCATTACCATAAGAGACATAGAAACCCAGGACTGAGGGGGACTTTTACTTACACTGGAAGAAAAATTCTGACCACTAAGAACAAATGACAAAATCTGACTTCTGCTGCCATGTGTAAATAGAACATTATTACCAGACGCAGAGAAGAAAGAACCAACTTCCATTATTAATCTGAATGTTTTGGAGATGTTGCGGCATGGTTGATGGACACAGTGGGGTTTGAACTGCAATGAAGCATTGACAGTGTTGCAATAGTAGCAGTGGCGTACCGCAGTTTCACGGGGCCCCCGCAAGGTCTGAGCAAGCCCCGCCAACCCCACATATTTTTACATATTTTTTTATTATTTATTTTGGAGAAAACAGCTAACTTCCTACAATTCTACACATTTTGCCATGGAGCAAAGAGAAAAATGTGCAGTTTTATAGCTAATCATTGCCATGGAGCAGATAGAAAAATGTGCAGTTTGATAGCTAATCTAATGCTATTCTACACATTTTGCAATGAGGCTGAGAGAATTGTGCATTTTTAAAACTAATTTCCTACTATTCTACAAATTTTCTCATGAGGCTGAGAGATTTTTTTTTTCTTCAGTTTTACAGCTAATTTCCTGTCATTCAAAACATTTCCATGGCTTTTTTTTTGGGGGGGGGGGGGGGCAGACCATGTCCATGGGGAGCTAAACACTTTGTGGTCTGGACCCTCTCCCCATACAGGTTCGTCAGAGAGCCAGCTGGACCTTACAGAATACTGCTCCAGCCATACAGAGGCTCATTGATTAATTCATAAGGCTGAGATGAGTGGAGCAGGTGCCTTTAGACTTTTTGCTCTCTTGTCTATCAAAAGGGCACAAGTCTGACAACAATCCCTAGATACCTTATCTATGTTCAGTAGATGCACATCAAAATCCCGCTTGAAGACTGGAGCACAGGCCAAAATGAAGAGGCTGAGTTATTATTCAGTAACATTACTTTAAAAAATACTATTTCAGTACCACTTTCACTAAAGGAAATGACATGCTATCATCACTTTAACAAGACAATGATAACCCATCAATCACGTAACCGGCTCTTTCCCTCCAGTTCAAAACCAAATACGGGAAGCGAATCGTCCATGTAACGGTGACAGTGAACGACTCTGTCTTCAACCTGACCAACCTGACTGAGCAGATTACCCGGGAGGAGGTGATCCCCATCCCGGGCACGGTGAACGGGGTCAATGCCCTGGGGCTGGTGGTCTTCTCCATGTGCTTTGGCCTCATCATCGGCAACATGAAGGAGCAGGGCCAGCCCCTCAGGGATTTCTTCGACAGCCTCAATGAGGCTATCATGAGACTGGTGGCAATTATCATGTGGTGAGTAGTTGGTGTGTGCATGGGTGTTTATAAGGATGGTGTGTGTGTGTGTGTGTGTGTTATGATGATGGTCCAATAATCACATTCATTAGGTGAGTGTGTGTGTTTATGCGAACCCCCTGCATTGCATGTGGTTCATGATTAGATCAGGCACAGAGAAATCTCCACATCTACAGTGGGGAAAAAAAGTATTTAGTCAGCCACCAATTGTGCAAGTTCTCCCACTTAAAAAGATGAGAGAGGCCTGTAATTTTCATCATAGGTACACGTCAACTATGATAGACAAATTGAGGAAAAAAAATCCAGAAAATCCCATTGTAGGATTTTTAATGAATTTATTTGCAAATTATGGTGGAAAATAAGTATTTGGTCACCTACAAACAAGCAAGATTTCTGGCTCTCACAGACCTGTAACTTCTTCTTTCAGAGGCTCCTCTGTCCTCCACTCGTTACCTGTATTAATGGCACCTGTTTGAACTTGTTATCAGTATAAAATACACCTGTCCACAACCTCAAACAGTCACACTCCAAACTTCACAATGGCCAAGACCAAAGAGCTGTCAAAGGACACCAAAAACAAAATTGTAGACCTGCACCAGGCTGGGAAGACTGAATCTGCAATAGGTAAGCAGCTTGGTTTGAAGAAATCAACTGTGGGAGCAATTATTAGGAAATGGAAGACATACAAGACCACTGATAATCTCCCTCGATCTGGGGCTCCACGCAAGATCTCACCCCGTGGGGTCAAAATGATCACAAGAACGGTGAGCAAAAATCCCAGAACCACACGGGGGGACCTAGTGAATGACCTGCTGAGAGCTGGGACCAAAGAAACAAAGCCAACCATCAGTAACACACTACGCCGCCAGGGACTCAAATCCTGCAGTGCGAGACATGTCCCCCTGCTTAAGCCAGTACATGTCCAGGCCCGTCTGAAGTGCATTTGGATGATCCAGAAGAGGATTGGGAGAATGTCATATGGTCAGATGAAACCAAAATATAACTTTTTGGTAAAAACTCAACTCGTCATGTTTGGAGGACAAAGAATGCTGAGTTGCATCCAAAGAACACCATACCTACTGTGAAGCATGGGGTTGGAAACATCATGCTTTGGGGCTGTTTTTCTGCAAAGGGACCAGGACGACTGATCCGTGTAAAGGAAAGAATGAATGGGGCCATGTATCGTGAGATTTTGAGTGAAACCCTCCTTCCATCAGCAAGGGCATTGAAGATGAAACGTGGCTGGGTCTTTCAGCATGACAATGATCCCAAACACACCGCCCGGAAAACGAAGGAGTGGCTTCGTAAGAAGCATTTCAAGGTCCTGGAGTGGCCTAGCCAGTCTCCAGATCTCAACCCCATAGAAAATCTTTGGAGGGAGTTGAAAGTCTGTGTTGCCCAGCGACAGCCCCAAAACATCACTGCTCTAGAGGAGATCTGCATGGAGGAATGGGCCAAAATACCAGCAACAGTGTGTGAAAACCTTGTGAAGACTTACAGAAAACGTTTGACCTGTGTCATTGCCAACAAAGGGTATATAACAAAGTATTGAGACACTTTTGTTATTGACCAAATACTTATTTTCCACCATCATATGCCAATAAATTCATAAAAAATCCTACAATGTGATTTTCTGGATTTTTTTTCCCTCATTTTGTCTGTCATAGTTGACGTGTACCTATGATGAAAATTACAGGCCTCTCTCATCTTTTTAAGTGGGAGAACTTGCACAATTGGTGGCTGACTAAATACTTTTTTTCCCCACTGTATGCTTTGGAATGCTAAGTCTACCTATAGAGTCTCCTGCAGAGTTGGGAGTTACTATGTGTAGCTTTATTTAGCCTCTTGCCTGAGGTATTGCGGTGAATGATCTGGTAACTATGTACAGGCATGATCTGATATAGGTCTTTAGGGTTACTGAGATAATTGCAGGACCACAATCTCATAATTGGCCAACATAGAACCGCCTCAGGGCATGTAGCTTCCTGATGCTAAATGCTTCCACAGATGAATTACAAGGCTTTGTAACCAAACCAGTGACATGTTCACTCAATTAAATCCAAAATATTCCCAGTCAGATATTTGACAGATTTAAACCAAGTTTTGTTTATGAATAAAGGTAATTTCATTGCCCGTGCTTGCAGTCTCAGAATGCACTGATGGTTTCTCAAATGTCTGTCCGTGAGAGACTAAACATTTTACTATTCAGGCCTACAGTATTACATAGAAAAATAAGTCCCTTTTAACTATGTAACCATATCCTTCCCCGGCATAACCTCTTCTCCGTATTCTGCTCTACAGGTATGCCCCAATCGGTATCCTGTTCCTCATATCGGGGAAGATCGTGGAGATGGATGACATCACTGAGATGGGTGGTCAGCTGGCCATGTACACCATCACGGTGATCATAGGCCTGTCCATCCACGCTTTCATCATCCTCCCCGGCCTGTACTTCGCCATCACACGGCTGAACCCCTTCATCTTCATCATGGGGCTGGTGGAGGCTCTCATCACAGCCCTGGGAACCTCCTCCAGGTTGGTCCCCTTACATGAATCTCCTTCTGGCCTGCTCGGACTACCCCACCAGTAGCCTCGCCTGACTTGGCCCTGACTCATGATAAATCAAAGCCTATTAGTAGGGTCAGGAGTGTTTCCTGTTTAGATTGTGGTTAGGAAAAATTCTCGGCCCTGCCTATGAGACATCACCATCCCTGTTAGTAGAGTTACTAAAGTTGACCCCCTGGAGAATATGGTGAATAGATCTAATACAAAAGAAACTAAAACAACAACCACTCAAACACCATCCGTTTCTCTCTCCGTCTCTATCTCAGCTCAGCGACCCTTCCCATCACCTTCAAGTGTCTGGAGGTGAACAACAAGGTGGATAAGCGCATCACGCGGTTTGTGTTGCCAGTGGGCGCCACCATTAACATGGATGGAACAGCACTTTACGAGGCTCTGGCAGCCATCTTCATAGCCCAGGTTAACAACATCGACATGAACTTAGGTCAGATCATTACAATCAGGTAAGAATGAGTATCTAAGGTTAATAAGCTAAGGGTTATGTTTACAGAATCAAACGGTCTTGATATGTTTACAACTACATTACATGATTTGGGCCTCCTGTAGCTCAGTTGGTAGAGCATGGCGCTTGCAACGCCAGGATTGTGGGTTTGATTCCCATGGGGGGCCAGTATGAAAAATGTATGCACTCACTAACTGTAAGTCGCTCTGGATAAGAGAGTCTGCTAAATGACCAAAATGTAAATGTAAATTGATCAAGATAGGAGTTTATAATATATCATTTTGTGTTAAAAAACAGCATCACAGCCACTGCAGCAAGTATTGGAGCTGCTGGAATCCCACAGGCTGGACTGGTCACCATGGTGATTGTGTTGACCTCTGTCGGACTTCCCACTGATGACATCACCCTCATCATTGCAGTTGATTGGTTCCTGTGAGTAATTTTTTCACATTTTCAGATTGAGAGGGGTTGCCTCATGCCTAAGAACAGCCCTTAGCCATTGGTATATTGGCCATATACCACACACCCTCATGCCTTATTGCTTAATTTAAAAGGTTGAACATCCTTTTTTATCAACTACAACCCTAGTGACACACTTGTGCTATCCCTAGGGTCTTGCTCCACTTTTTTGAATTGCATATTTTTTGCAATGAGTTTTAACATAGAAACATAATTAGGTTGCCCAAATTAATAATTTATATTAGAATTCCCTTCCCAGAAATTACACAGCTAATTGGGTAGTGAGAAAAAATCACTCTCCTTAAACTAGGAGGGATGGAATGTGCAGACAGAGTCAAAACTTCATTTAATGAAAACATGGATGTTTCTCACAGTGATTAGAAAACGAGATAGCCTATAGGGAGTGTTCTGACTACTCTTTAGCGGTAGATTGGAATTGTCTCTGCTGATAATGCTGTGGACTATTGCCCATCTGCATTCTTTCGACTATGAGAAATATCAAGATAAACTAATCTTTCATCAACAGCAGGAAACAGGTGAAGGTTTTGAGCTGTTCCATATAACATGACCAAACGTCCAAGCGGACATAGGCTAAGGTTTTCTTTTCAAAAATGAATGTCCCGCCACTCCTCTCGACCTCTGTCTCTGACTCCTTCACCCTGGTTAAGCTTTTTCTTCTTACCTTATTCCTGGATTGTAGTGACCGGCTGCGTACCACAACCAACGTCTTGGGTGACTCCATTGGAGCAGGCATTGTGGAATTCCTATCTCGACAGGAGCTGCAGGCCAAGGATGTGGAGATGGGGAACATTGTGCTGGAGGAGAGGAAGAAACCATACCAGCTCATCTCTCAGGAAAACGACTACGAAAAAGCCAAATGCCCGAACACTGAAAGCAAGATGTAGATCAACGCTCAATAGCGCACATGCTCGCACACGCACACACACACACGGAATGTTTTGGTTCATTTTTGTTTTCAATCTATGTCATATGTGTCCAGTTATTGTCACTCTACCATATTTCCTTTCCTTTGTTATTTTGTCATTCATAAAGTCACTTTTCTATTTACTATCCAACTCTTTTTTAAATGTTTCTTTCCCTGAAGTGGCCCAATCAAATTGCTTACATCCGCAGCCTCTCTACGAGATAGATAGGCTACCTGTTTTGTGGTTTGTCTGGCTATTTTTGTGTTGAGTTAAGTCATGGCCTAGAATGTGTATATGGTATAAGTAATGAGGAAAGTGATGAGGGTGTTGATGTCGGTAAGAATTTTGTAAAAAGATAGAAGGACAACGTTTGTTTGAATGAGCAAGCTTCATCCTTCACAAAATGCAACAGAGAACACATTTGTATATAACTGCCTTAATTTTGCTGGACCCCAGGAAGAGTAGCTGCTGCCTTGGCAGGGATCCATAATAAATAAATACAAATACATTTAATTTGCTACGACTAATGAAATGAGGCCCTATGAGCTGCTTCTGTGGAAAAACAACCAACTTCCTATCGTGGGTTAAATAAGCAGTAATTTAAATAAAAAATACACACCACTTTCTATTTGATTAACTTTTTTCATGCCTTCATTGGAGCCTTCAACTCCAATTTTTACTTTATTTTGATTGATACAATTTTTGAAGGTGGTGCTGTGATGCTGACAATATTGTTAAAACGAGATGTATCCAACAATCCCATTGTTATCACTATATATTCACTATTTTGTAGCCGGCCCTAAGACAAATTAGTCTCTGAAATATCCTTCACTATTTAGTATATCATTATTTTAACATAGTAGGTGTTTAATATTTGTAAGGCTTTGTAGAGTGATTGTATATAGATATATGTGTAAATTAATTATAGAATATGGATAGTTGTTTACTTGAATATGTCTTCTTTAATCTCAATGCGGAAAGATATTCGTTTTCAGGGCCTAAATGCCACTCCAATACCTTGGTTAGTAAAATCAAGGAACACAGTTTGTGATAATTACAGTATGTGTGAACTAACTCAAATGGATTTAGAAAATAAATGTTATTTTTTTCTTCTTTAAGTTTTGAGATATTATGGTTCACTTTCTGTAAAGGCAACATTTGTGGTGAAATCAATGAACTGGTAGATTTGTCTTTGGTGAATAACATTTTGAATAAAATGTAAAAAGGAATCAATGTTTGATTTTGGTGATTTGTTTTCCATGACACACATAGAGTAATAAACTGTTACATAACATGTGTTATATCAATTATAATTATGTAGGTATTAGCCTACACAGCACACAATGAAAAGTAATACATGTGCAATAAGACATGCCTTCAAATGTCTCAAAATGTCTCATATGACAACACAACCATAATAATGAATTAATATGCCTAGGTCTTTATTTTATTATCTGGTTATGATAAGGTAATAAAGATAGTTGTACTATTCATCTAATTATGGTACGAGCTACGAGTCACATTCTTCTAAATCAAGGGGTATATTTCATTAGTTTAAATTACTGGAAACTTACAGACTGTGGCTTTAAAAGGCAAATGTAATATATTGTTATGTATAATAATGTAATGATTTCATACACTGAATAATCTACAATTGTGTAGTTATGTGCGAAGATCTTTGATGGATGTAAGAAGACAAATATATTATTTATCTCAATGTGACTTCCTGGTTTAATATGAATTGCAATTGAATCGTTTGTGGACATTTGCTGCCATCTTGTGGTATGACTTGAGCAGCACTATATGCAAGCTGATAACAAAGATAAGAGTATCTACCGGCATGTGGGCTTTATCATCAGTATTTTATTAAAATGTTGACCCAACTCTGGTTGATACTATGGCTGACAAGCACCTGCAGAAGGTAAAATCAGGTAAAACCATCCATACATGAAACATCCATATTTACCATGCACCGTTGCCGTTTTATTTTTCACTGTTCTTTCACCTGACCGACCCTCCACTTAAAATGTAGGTAGGCTGGGAGAGTGATGTCATGTGACTTGACGATCCTTAGCGCGCGAAATATAATTAATATATTTATATGTTTTTCAACATCCTGTGTGAGCCGTTATCCTGAGGACAACAAACAGTGGCAAGCTAGCGCCTAAAAAGGTATCGAACGAGTTAGCTACCTAGCTATCTGCTTTCAAATATTTTTGGGGGGTAAATTACTTGCTCTCAAATGGTATTTACATTTGTTAGATTGTGTTAAAAATAAAAGCCCGTGATCCGCTTGCTTTCTAGCTTAGCTAGCTAACGTTAGAGCTCAGCGGTTACAGTAGCCCGCACGGTAACGTATGTTACAAACTGAGGGAAAATGTAGTTTGCAGCTACCTCGGCTAGCCAGCTCGCTAATTACCTGTATACACACGCCCATCCATTTTGATGTGATGCCAAGCAAGAGGAAGAAACACAAAAAAAGTAAGACAGAAATAAAGTCTGTATTTTTCTACTGTTTATAGATTTTCTGAAATCAGACCTGTTCAGTCAATTACGTCACTTCGCGCACTTTCAAATCATTCCACAAGAGGGAGACCGACTGTTGATGATTACATTTTGTAATGTTGTATTGCAGCTGCCTTACATTTACATTTTAGTCATTTAGCAGACGCTCTTATCCTAAGCGACTTACAGTTAGTGAGTGCATACATTTTTTTCCTATTTTCTTTCATACTGGCCCCCCGTGGCAATCGAACCCACAACCCTGGCGTTGCAAACGCCATGCTCTACCAACTGAGCTACACAGGGCCCAAAGTACTGAGTAAAGGGTCTGAATACTTATGTAACAAAATGTGGAAAAAGTCAAGCGGTCGGAATACTTTCCGAATGCACTGTATCTCTCTTTGACGGTCCACTATCTGCTCTCATCCACTGAAACCTCACTTACTGATTACATTACAGAGTCATTACTGTGGGCCGTTATCACTATTCTGAATGCCTGTTTTATATATATATATTATAATTACGTTGAGAATCAGATTTTTCCATTTGAAGGCAATAAACAACTTCTCTGGTAGGAAACGGCCTATCTGGCATCGATATTAGTCCGAAATATTTATGTTACTGTCAAAATTGACTACAAAGTGTAAATAGGATACATTTTGGTCATAAAGTCAGTCTCGTCCCAAAACAGAGATTTGCGAGATAATTACGAATGGTAAATCCCGGAATTAAGGGTACCGTAACAGTTTTCCTTGGTTTGGGTTTATTTAAAGCCTGCCGACATGCCCACAGCACCCAAGTAATCATCAATTCCGAGCGCAGCTGCACGCGTCCCGATCGTAATGACAATGGTCAATTTGGTTTGACATTCGATATCGTACCTTCTTGGGCAGGCTTCACTTGCAAAATAGACTGTCTCAATGGGCTACTATTATGGTATTAAAGAAAGTCATTACACAGCCATATTAACTGAGAATACATTTATTATCAATTCAAGAGAATAAGCTATTTAATTAGGCGACCAGTTCAGGAGTGGGGTGTAATAAATGATCAGACTCAGAACATGACATCAAAACCAGTCCAATAATGTTAATGAACAGTAACACATACCAGTGTTTAAAATAGAAAATAAAACAAATCATTAGGATTTCGTAATCACCAATTACCATGTGAATAGTTTCACAACCTTGAAAAGTTTTTTTTAAAGGTGTACGTTTTTAACCAGTTCAATAAAATGTAATATGGATGTCAGAATTAGTTAACAATAATAATTAACATACTGACCAATAACTAATTTACCGGTTTATTTATTGTGTGTGCGTGTGCGTGTGTGTGGCCTATCAGTGGGAAAACTGGGGTGTTTCTTCAGTTTGATATGTTTATTGAAGTCTGGGGTGGTTGACAGGGAAACTTGGAGGTCATGCTGGCTGTCCAGTTTCTTTCTGCTTTTAGTTTTCAGCACGACCATAGCAGAGAAGCCACTTTCACACAGATAGGTAGTGCTGAACGTTAGCATGATTCTGATTGCATGACAGGCAAGAGCAGGATACTCTCCCATTACGCTGCACTAGAACTGTGGCAGTGCCATTTCCGGGAAGCGCATGCTCAGTCCACAATCAAATGACAGCTCCACCAGCTGATCCTCTTCGTTGCTTGGCAACGTGACGCTTCCCATCTCCACTCGAAAGGGGTCCTGTATCCAGTCGTCTTGTCTCCTGTTCTTCTCCGGGAAGTAGTCACAAAGCTTTCCCTGCAGCTTAACAAGATGCTGTTTAACAGTTTTTTTTCAGTGTGTCGCTCTGTGCTTTGTTGATCAGATTCTGAATATCGAAATCAGCATTGGGAAACATGTCAATCCTCCCATTAGAAACATGATTTTCCCAAATGGTAAGCTTCATCTTGAAGGCATCCACTTTGTCCCTCTGTTCAAATCGATTGTGCCCCCGTCCCTTGCTTTGACACATTGAGCGAATTTAGGCAACCTTCACGAGCCATTCCTCATAATCGCTTGAAGCTCATAAAAGCGACCCAACAATGTACCCCTGGAAATCCAGCGGACCTCTGCATGATAAAGCACTGGCTGGTGCTCACTCCCTATATCCCTCCAGAAGGCCTGGAAACACCTGCTTTTCGTGGAACTCTTTTTGATATAGTTGACACACTTGATCACATCCTGGAGAGTGTAGGAAGCAGTGGTTCCACGTCGCACTCGGTGCTTTCTCCAAGATCCGCTTCACTACTCCGGAGTGTTTTCCCTTCATGGCAGCTGCCCCATCAGTGGTCACACCGACGCATCCATCCCAGGCCAGTCCCACGGAGCCCAGGTACATATCCATTGTGTTAAAGACAGCCTCTGCAGTGGTGTTGGTGGGTAAATCAGAAGTGTCTGACATAGACCATTAGAATTGCATGGTTAGCCACATCTGTGGATTCATCAAACTGCAGTGCGTAATGGCCATTTGCACTGATGCGCTCTG